ATACTAAGCAGTTTAGGATAAGCAGGTAAGGTAACAATAAGTAGGTTACAAAAGCAGGCTATGCATCAGAATAGGAGCAAACAATAACCGTAGCAAAATCTAATGCAAGCATGAGAGAATGGAATGGGCGATATCGAAATGATCAAAGGGAGGGCTTGCCTGGTTGCTCTGGCAAGGAGGGGTCGTCGTCGACGTGGTCGATCACAGGGGCAGCATCGGTCTCGGGGTCTACCGAAGAGAAGAGGGGGAAGAAATAGTAAATATAAAGCAAACATAGCATCACAAAGCATAACATAGCAATACGCTACACCGGGTGTGACCTAACGTATGGCTAAACGATAAAGGTGAAGGGGGAATTCAACCGGGAATGTATTCCCGGTTCCAGACCTGTGTCAGGCAGATGACCGGAGGGGTAAAGTTCCATGTTCAGATAGTTAGAGGCATCTGACAGGTAAACGTATCACGTATTCGGATTCGTCTCGTCGTTCTCAACAACTTTCATGTAGAAAACATTTTCATCCGAGGTACGGATATTTTTCTATGATTTTTCAAAGATTTAAACAATTTCTAGGATTATCTTGAACTCAAAAATGGACTTATTGCGCCAACATGATGTCATGCTGAGGTCAGCAGAGTTAATAGTCAACTCTGACTAGGTTGACTGGTCAATGGGGCAGTGGGGCCCTTCTGCCATTGATTGGGCTTAACTAATTAATAGCTTAATTAGTTAAAAAGTTAATTAGGTTAATTAAGTTAATTTTTTAACTAATTAATTAATTATTTTTTTAAAATATTTTTTATTATTAAAGGGTGTTGGGCCCACAAGTCATTGGCCCAGTGGGCTACCGGGTGGTGGATGCGGGCGCCTGGGCGTGGGCATCCGCCCGAACACGCACATGCGTGATGGATGGCGCCGGCGGAGGCCATGGCTTCAACGAGGAGCTGGCGAGGGCGGTCCCCGGCGGGGGCTCTGGCGGTGGCGGGGCTAGCAGGGGCACGACCGTCGGAGGCGGTGGAGGTAGGCGCCCGCAGTGGAGCAAGGCGGGGCGGCGGCGTGAGGTAGGACAGGGGCGCCCAGCGGGAGGCAACATGGGTGGAGCAGCAGAGGAGGCTACGGCGACGCGAGCCACGGCAGGTGCGAGCGCTCCGGTGAGGAGGCCGCGGTTCCGAGGCAGCAGCGGGTCGCGGTGAGCTGCAGGGGGAACGGCGCCGCGGGGTGTGGCAGGGCACGGCGATGGCGGTAGGGAACAACGGCAGGGGGAGGCCACGGTGGAGCGAGCTCCGGGCGCGGGTCGAGGCGGAGGTGAGGCGCGTGTTCGCCGCGGCGAGCGCGGCGCAGGCGTGTGGTGACTGGGAAGGACGGGGATAGAGGGGCGCGTGCTCACGGTGGCCGTAGGGGAAAGGCAGCGGGCTCGACGGAGGCCTTCGGGGAGGAGATGAGGAGGCGAACACCGTCGACAGGCGGGGTTGGTGAGGGGGAGGTCCGGCGTCGGCGTAGGGCGTCGGGGGCGTCGATTGCCCCCGATCAGATCCTTACAGGAGGGGGTTGAGGAGGCGGGCGACGGCGGGGCAGCGCCGGGCGGCGTCGGCGAGGTGGCGGCGGGGGCATGCCGGGGCGTCGGGCGACCAAGGCGTCGGGTGCCCCGATCCCGATCCA